CATATGATCTTCTGCTGGAGCATCAGGAATGATGCTTTGGAGGCCAGTGGCTTCCCACTTTCTGCTTTCAGCCTGGCTGGCTCCAGCCAAGGATGGGGCTCTGCATGGTCCTCAAGACAATGGAAATTCCTGCAGGAGTTTTAAAAGCTGTTTGGAAACAACCCAGCCTTGCTCCAAGGGGAGCCAGCCAAAAAAAAACCCCACCCCAGGCTTAAGAACACAAGTGAAAGTGGCCAGCAACTGCATTGCCCATTTTCTTCTCTCCATGTTTCCACCCCATCCCGACTTTCCTCGTCTTTCTTGCGAGCCTGTCTCCTTTCTCACACTCCATCTGCTCTTTCCGAAAGAGGAATATTCTCACCAATCCATCTTTCAGGATGACTTCAGTTATTTTCTCCCAGCCTCAGGTTATGCCCTCTCCTTATCTCTGCTCTATACCTGTGCACGCGCGTGGCCACATCCCCACCCTTCTTGGCATCACCTTTATCTTGGCCAAATCCTGCTGGAGCAATTACACCAGGAGTCAAGAAATCTTCCCTGGGGTAAAACCGCAGCGAGCGAGAGCACAACCTGCTTATTCCCTCGGGCTCTGATTTTGCTGCCATTACAATGAATGGCAAAATTCCCATTCCCAGGGCGGAATCAGGCCCTCTTTTCAGCAGGATCATGGTGGTGGCTGAGATTTCTTGGCTTGGCTGTCCAGTTCTCTCCTATCATGCATCTGCTTTTGTCCACGACTTCCACCCAGCCCTAGCGCTGGCCGCACAGCTCGGCTGCCTGCAGCTGCCTGCACGATGCTGCCCTGACCACGTAATGGATGCTGAATTTTCCCTGATGCAATCACTCCATTAATCTCATGCAATTAATGCTTCGGGAAGCCTTTTGCAAATATTGATAGTAAGGAGAGAGCTACAACACAGAAATGGTTGCTGCTTTGGTTGTATTACCATAGTAAGTCACAAATTACCTAGCTCAGGAGGATTTTCTTTCTGTGTCCAAGACTTTTTTGGCTGCTTTTGTCCTTTTTGCCCAGTGCAAAAGGGCCACACGGAAGGGGGGATGGATATTTGTGGCATCCTGAAGGCATCCATAAGAGTGACCTGCATGGCTGGGGGGAAGAGCTTGGCACATTTGCCTCCCCAGCAATTCCCTTCCATCATGGTGGCTTTGCCTCTTTTCCATAGTGCCCTGGCTTGGGCAATGCAATCAGCTTGTGGCCAGGATTGCAGTAGTCTTGGCTTGCTCCCTGCTTCCCATCCCAACGGAGGCACGTTCCCCTCTTGTGCACAGTTAAAGAGGGTGTCTGCTCTTCTGCCCCGACCCTGGGAGGTCCTCAGTTCCCTACGTTTGCACTGAAGTCCTTGAGGACCTCTGTTCATCACCTCAGCAGATCAGTCTGGGGACCTTTTGCATCAGACGTGCTCGTCCTGTTACACCCAGCCCCATCCTACAGTCCCCACTGCACGGGCTTCCCATTGCACGCTCCCTTTTCAGCTCCCTAGCTCTGAAACAGCTCTAGCCAGTCCGTCCTGGCACGTAAAGTGGAAAATCATAAAATCTCTGCAGGGAGAAAGAGTCTCTCGGCTCCTTGTGAGATTAAGCTTTGTGCATATATCTGCAAATGGTAGGGGGGAGAGGTTAAGCTGAGCAGTGCAAGGGGAGGAGGTGACAGTGCTTAGCAATGCAGATCAGATGGCTCTGAGACCTTCCAGTATTCGTGGCCAAATCCTGGGATATTTAGGGGTTTAAAACATAATGAAGTTAGATGAAGGAAGGAGTGCTGTTTGGGCGAGGAAGGACGGATGAACTCAGCTCCCTGGAAGGAAGCTCTTTGATCTGCTGGTGGCCATGAAGGTGGCCAGATGTCTTGGTGGCCGTAGGGGAGGTGACTGTGCCCTCCTAGGCAATCCCCAGAGGTGAGCCATGCTGCTGCCTCCCACAGGGAAGCAATCGGGAGAGCAATGACACCCATGAAAGCAGACTTGGGGTGTGGGTTTTGCTCTCTGCTGGGAGTTGCTCCATGATGTTGGGAGGGGAGAAGCAGGACGAGCCAGCCGGATGGGATGGCTCCTCAAGTCCTTGCATCCTCTGCTTAGAAAAATCAGCCTTGCCAGGGAAATGCAGCGATTGCTCCTGGCAGCTGTGCAATTCTAGGAGTAGGTTTTAAGGCCATGCAAAGATGACGGCTTCCCGGGCACCTCTGCCTTGCTGGAGATACACACAGGCGCTCGCTGCAGCTGTAACCTGCTGTGACCAATTTGCCGCCTCTGCTCCAGCTGCGACGCGCTGTCACGCAGCTTTGTTCTGCTCTTTGCCACTGCCTCTGGTTTTCAGCAAAGGGCCGTGCTTGCTTTACGGTGCTTCAGTTTAATCCGGTTTTTTTTTTTTCAGCTGCAGATTTGCTAGGAGACAGGGAGGTCAAGGGACCTGCCTGGGGCCAGGGACCGAGTCAAGTGATTCAGCCAAGGGAAAAGGAGTCCAGGACTTGGGCAGGGCGGGCTATGACGGATCTCGTGCAGGACCTTTTCTCCCTGTCCCCTTGCCCACGCTGGCACCTTTCCCTGAAATGCCTTGAATCCATCTCTAGAGGCAACAGGAGGTTGAGCATGGGGTGAGGACATCCCAAGCCATCTTGGGGGCTCCGTTTGCAGGGGTGCTCAGGGTGTTGGGGGAAATCTCTCACAGGCGGCTGTTGCCCATCACCCCCAGTAGGTTGTCCTGCCGAGATGCTCTGGGAAGGAGCCAGAAAGGGGAGCGTGATGGTGCCAGGTCTGCAGGGGATGGACGGATGGCTTGGGGGGCTTTCCCGTGCCACAGGCACCATTCCAGGGTGCCACTGGGCACGGGGAGAGCTGTGGTGCACAGCATCGGTTGTTGCCTGTTCTTGGGGGCACCAAAGTGGGTTTCAGTGGGGCAAGCCAGGCTCACTGCTCAAACCCAACCAGAGGACATGTCTGATGTCTCCACCGAGCTCTTTGCTGGCCGTCTTGCCGGTTGTCCCCCATCCTTCTCCCCACTGGCACTGCCACTACCTCCTCACCCCGCCCCACCAGTGCCTGCCATAATCCTAGTGCTCTGCCTCCCTCACCGGTGCTAATCCTATAAACCCTTTGTAAATCCTGCCTGCCTGGCCCTGCCTTTCCATGTCCCTTCTCCAAGGCAGTCTTCATGAGGTCCCCCAGCTTGCGGCTGGCATTTTTTTGGGGTGCACAAGGCTGTCACTCAGATAATGTAGCACCTCGGGGGGTTGCTTGCATCGGAGCACTGGGAAGGATGTCCGAGCCCAGGGGATTTGTGCAAAGTGCTGGCAGCTATTAGATAAGACAGCTGATGCACCCCAAAATGCACCCCAAAATGTGCCTGGGTGCTGGTTTCACGCTCTCGGTAAGCAGTTCGATGCTCAGCATGAGCTGCTCCAGCACCTACCCATCTCCAGAGCTACCGCTGAGCCCCGGGGACTGGGCGCTGGAAACCCCTAAGGGAGTCCTGAGGGTAGGATCGGGATGAGGGATGAAACGGAGCCAAAGGATACATAGCTGTAGGGCTGGGATCGCTCCTTGCAGCGAGAGTAGGGTTTATCTGGGATGGGGATGGGGATGGCCAGCACAGCCCGTTTTAATAATCCTTTCTGCTAGGCTGTTGGAAAATGTTGAGAGGGAAAACGCTGCAGCAAGGCGGATAGGTCTCAGGGAACAATATTTTTGCAGCCAAAAGAGCCGGCTCAGGTGGACCCGATGGGTTGCTCATGTCTACAAATCACAGTGTGATTGCTAAGGGCAAAGAGCATCTTGTGCAGAGAGGGGACAGAAAGCCTCTATCAGACTGAGCCGGCGGTAATCATCTGGGCCGTTTTCATCAGGGCCGTTTCAGTTTGATTCCCACAGGGTTCGCTATTTCAGCAAGTCTATTTTAAGACTCCCTCGGCATGCAGGAGCGGGGCTGGAATGAGGGGAGGCCCCGATCCTGCGAGGTGCTGCCTGCGCCCGTCCCGGCGCGGGGCCCTGCTCTTTGCATCGCTGGCCGGGGATGGGAGGCAGCAGGGCAGCCCCGGGCTGGGACCGGCCACAGCATCCCAGCAGCACCAGTGCCGGGCGAGGAGCCGTCCTCGGGCTCATCAATCTGCCTCAGGAGGGCTTAGGTGGGCAGTGAATCACTGCATCTCGAGCTAGCCCAGAAAAGATTAAGCCGACCTAAGAATAAAAACAAGCTTTGCAGTTCAACTGGCTGGGACAAATGAGAAATTGTGCAAATCGCTGAGCTCCAGGAGGGGAAGGGATTATAAGCCCCGGGCAGATTACGGCCGCGTTTCAGTACACAGGGCGGGCGTTACGCTCCCGTTGCGCTTCCCGAGCTGGATGGGTTTCTTGTGCCTCCATTCCCAGTGCCGCGGTGAGGTCCCATGTGCGTTTCATCCCGCTAAAGACCGGTCAGGCAGCTCCAGTAAGTGCCCGTGCAAATGTAGGAGTTCAAACAGGGGCATGTTTCCGAGGGGAATAACCAAATCGATCTCTCCCCGTGAGGCCTTTATTTCTATGGAGCCACTCCTTTCCACTACACGCCGGATGAAAGGCACTATGTATATAAATAAATGCGTTGTAATATACCATCCGCTTTGATCACTGCCGGCAGCATGGATGGGATCGGAGTCTGCTCCCGGATAACAATTCCCCTACCCCGTCTCCCCGCTCCCTTCCCTTTCAAATTAGGGGTTGATCTAAGGGGCAGTTCCTCGAAGCATCGCTCCATGCTCGATGGTGCCTTGGCTGGTTTCTAATATTTCCGCACTGCAGCTGGAGTGCATGCCTGCAATCCAACCAAGATGTTATTTTTTCCTCCCACAACGTGACATTACAGTCCTTGTCACGGAGATGGGACCGGGATCCAGAGCTGCACTTTGCTGCTCCCGCTAACGAAGGGCTCGCAGAGGAGTTTGATGCCGTTAGCTGTCCACAGGATGCCATGCCATGAAACCCCTCTTTGCTTTTGTCTCCTCTTCCCAGGGACATACCAGGGCCAGTGGGTTGGAGGGATGCGCCAGGGTTACGGCGTCCGGCAGAGCGTTCCCTACGGCATGGCTGCGGTTATCAGGTCACCCCTGAGGACGTCCATCAACTCCCTGCGCAGCGAGCACACCAACGGCACGGCGCTGCACCCCGACTCCTCGCCGGCGGTGGCCGGCAGCCCTGCCGTCTCCCGGGGTGGCTTCGTCCTCATGGCCCACAGCGACGCCGAGATCCTCAAGAGCAAGAAGAAGGGCATCTTCCGGCGGTCGCTGCTGAGCGGGCTCAAGCTCCGTAAGTCCGAGTCCAAGAGCTCCTTGGCCAGCCAGCGGAGCAAGCAGAGCTCTTTCCGGAGCGAAGCTGGGATGAGCACGGTCAGCTCCACCGCCAGCGACATCAACTCTACCATCAGCCTGGGCGAGGGCGAAGCCGAGCTCTCCGTCATCGAAGACGACATCGACGCCACCACCACTGAGATCTACGTCGGCGAGTGGAAGAACGACAAGCGGTCGGGCTTCGGGGTGAGCCAACGCTCGGACGGGCTGAAGTACGAGGGAGAATGGGCCAACAACAAGCGCCACGGCTACGGCTGCATGACCTTCCCCGACGGCACCAAGGAGGAGGGCAAGTACAAGCAGAACGTCCTGGTCAGCGGCAAGAGGAAGAACCTCATCCCGCTGCGGGCCAGCAAGATCCGCGAGAAGGTGGATCGGGCTGTCGAGGCGGCCGAGCGGGCGGCCACCATCGCCAAGCAGAAAGCGGAGATCGCAGCGTCCAGGTAAGGTGGTCCTCGTCCCGACGCGGCATCTCGGCAGGGGTCCAGCCCCGACAGCTGCAGTTTGATGGGAGTAGTTGGATGAGACTTTTTGCGGTAGTAAGTGCTCGGGGGGGGTATTTTAGGGAAGCTGCTGGAGGCAGGCAGAGGTTGCGGTGGGCATCTGCTGGTGCAGGGAGCGGTTGGTGCAATCTGGACCCCAAAGGGGGAGCAGGCAGCATCCTGGAAAGCCAAGCCCCTGGGCTTGCCCAAGCCTCATGGGTGGTGTTCAAAATGGGGTGGATCCAAGCCAAACTGTCCCTCTGCTACCTCTGAGTGAGCTGTGGATGCACGACCTTCCCGAACCAGCCGTCGAGGCCATGCAGGGTCACCCAGAGCGGTGCGTTCGCTGCAGCCTGTGCAGGGGGTGGTTGCACCGTGGTGGGACTGCACTTGTGGGTCATGGTGTGGGGCTCACAGGCTGATAGCTGTCACTTAGGAGGTACTGGGTTATTCACCCCTTTTCTCCCTAGCCTCTTTAATAAGCAGGATGATACCCTTAGCAGAAGAGCTCCTGAGATGCTGTTTGCCTGTATCCTCTGTCTGACTTATAGCCAAGAGGAACCATCCCAGGGTTGGCCTGTGCTGGGAGGATTCCCAGCTATTTCTGTTCCCGAAAGAGGTTTTGAGTGGAAAAGCAGTCAAATCTCTGGCTGCAGCTGATGCCTGGGGAGGGTTTGCCCTGCCTGAGGCTCTGCTAGAAAGCAGCAGAGCTTCTTTATTGCCCAAATAATCCCTACAAGCCTCAAGAAGTCCCCACTCCCCGGGCTGGCTGTAGCCATCATGGAACTGCTCAGTGATTCAGAGCAGGGACCTGATCCAGCTGAAAACCAGCAGGACCCCTCCTGGATGGGGACGGGGTCATGTCTCGTTTAGGTTGAAGTAAGGTCCAACTCCCAGCTCAAAGCAGGGCCAACTCAAGCACCTTCTAGCTAGCTCCCAAAATACGCCTGGAGCTTCGTGACTTGCAGCGAGCTCCCAGACAAGAGGTGAGCCGAGGAGGAAAGGCTCCTCTGCCGAATTCAGGGCTCTTTGTATCACTTTTTAGGGTTGGTTTAATAGAGCGTGGTCATTCCTTTCTGGTTTCTGAGCAAGTGCTACGTATAGCAGCCAGGCTGGGGAAAAAGGGCTGGGGTTAGGGGAAAAACCCAGGTACCTCCTGAGTCGCCTGTGCTAGATTGTTGGGTCTGGATCATTTGTATGCAGAGTCACACTTGAAATCTTTATCAGCATGTCTGCCGATGACTTATCTGCAATGTGAATGAGACTCCCAGGCCTGCTTTGGGAGCATATTTGGGCTTGATGATGTTTTTGAGCTGACGTTGTACCAAATTGTTGTCAAAGCTTTGGGGGAAAAAAAAAAAAAATCCCACTAGATTGCCAGGTAGGAAACAGACTGCAGAGCAGCGGAAAGACCAGATCTTTCCCTGTGATCTGGGGATGTGAATGCCTCGATAGAAAGGCCTGAATCCTGGAAACGTGGAGGTCTATGCCGTGGGATGCCGGGTCTGAGAACCTGAGTATCCTCCGTCTCCAGGTGGTAAGGGTCCTGGAAAGCCATGAGAGTGGGAGTTGAAAGAGATATGACCACCCCATGTTGGAAGTGCCTAATGAGCTCTTGGCATATAATGTTCCACCTTCTCATTATGAGAGAGGAGAAGGAAAAAATCAAATCAGATAGCAATGCCAGGGCATGAATACCTTCCCCCCCTGTACCGGCTGGGGTAGCGCAGTCCCGAGCTCTGCTGGAGAGCAGCAGCAGTGCTGGGAGGGAGGATGCAGCCCGTGACCACGCGTGTGCATGGAGGAGGAGAAAAGCTGTGGGATTTGGGGACCACGCAGAGGACCCCTTTAATCATCAGTGAAGATGCAAAGAAATAAATGAATGGGAGTGCACTGCTTCGAGGATGCTCCGTCAGAGACTGAACCTGGTCCCACCAAAAAATGCTCCGTGAACAACCTGACATCTCCATCCCGCAGCCCGGCTCCCTCCGCTGTTTGCGCTCGGTCTTAACTAGTCTGTTCTTGACTAGACACATGGGGAAGAAAGCAAGCGCTTGGAACCCAGGGTTTTGCTTTTTTTGTGGCACAGCCATCGCCTCCGGTGCACGAGGGCTGCTGGTGTGTTGAAAAGCCCTTTATTGATCTGCTGCGCAGCCCATCTCTCGCTGCGTGAGCCAGGGACAGACTGACTCCAACGTGACGGGCGCTGTGCATTAGCGCTGGGTTACCAACTGCGAATGACATCCGTCCCGGGAGTTTTTGCTGCCTGTGTTAATGGCTTATGATGAGGCCCCGAAACCTATCCAAGAAGAGCCAAACCATTCGGTTACGGCCGGGTAGGATCGCAGGATTTAGGCTTTGCTGGAGACGCGGGGCAGGTGGGATTAGGCAGGCGTACAGGCTCGGCCCCAAGTCTTGGAGGGTGTCTTGGGTTTGCAATTCGGCTGCACACAGGAGAGGCCCAAGGACCTCGAAATGCAAGCGGGGAGAGCTGCTTTGTCTGAAACCTGCAGTCCTTCAGCTCAGGCTCTTCCCCTTTGCGAGGGTTTTTGCACGGACAGTCTCTCCTCGGCTGCATCCCAGCATGCAGAACCAGAAGAGAGCAAGGTTTTACAAACCTAGAACCAGCTAGAAAGGCTTTCATATAATTAGTCCGATTAATTTTAAAGCTTCTAAATGAATAAACACTCCCCTGCAGTGCCCACACCAAATTGCATCATCCAAACAGAAAGAAATGCACAAAATAGGCAGTGGGTGCCTTGGCAGAGGAATCCCGATGCTCATTTCAGTGGCTTTGGGGCTCAGGGGTGCAATATTCCCCATCTAATACCAACGTGGGCTCTGGCTTACCAGCACCTGGGGATTTTATAACAGCACTGGTGTGTGTCTGTGTATGTGTGTGTGTGTATTCTCTTCTGTCTAATAATAAGGCTGAGTTCACTCTGCAGCCTTTCCCTTGGTGGGGGAAAATATGTGCCCACCCACGTATTTCATTAAATTTGTAAGAATTCAGTATTTTTGAAAACTCTACCACTCTGTCAGATTTGGTTGGAATTGGCCAACACGTTCAAAAGTTATTAGTGTGGGAGTGATGGCATATAGATATATAAACAGCACAATCACAGAAGTAAGCCCCATTTCCTGAGGAAAGTAGGCTAAAAACATAGTGTACTGAAGACAAGTAAATTGGATTCTTAAAGTTGTTTTAGTCTGAACAGAGTACAATGTTATTTGTGACACAGAAAAGTAAGCTCATTTAAAGAATAGTTTTTAGGTTCAGTAGATGATTCTCCTAAATTTTCTTCGATGCAATTAAAATGAAATAACACTTTCTTTCCTCTTATATTGCCCATTTGCTGAAATAGTTTGTGCAAAGTCAGTGGGCGAGAAGGGCTATGAATCAGGCCTGAAAAACTACCGTTGACATGAACTATCGGTTTTCGGAGGTACCCAGGGAGGGAGCCCTTTTTCAGCCTGTTTCAAATGAAGGCGCAGGGTGTCCTCTTTGTGCTATGGGGTGCTTCATTCCCCTCTCACATCAGCCAAGAGCCATCACTCTTTCTGCTGCTACCCTGGGAGGATGGAGGATGCACTGGAGACACCGGCTCCCATCTCATTAGAGATAACGTCGATGCCAAAGGCAAGTTGTCCATCGGCACTGGTGTGTCACGGTCAACTAAAATATAATATCCAGGCAAGAGAGGTGGGCCAGAAAGCTCACCCTCACCCCTTGGCTTTCATCACAGCCGCTGGACGTGGAGGATAGATGCACGTGGAGCATCAGGGGGAGCTCAGGACCGACTTCAGCTCTCCGCGACGGATGATGGCAGTTTTAATGCAAGGCAGACAGACCCTAATTCTCCCCAGGATTTCCTTCTGCTACCGCAGTTCAAGGTTTTGTAATTAGTGGCCGGACTACTGATGAAAGGAGGGGCCGTTACCAGTGCTAGGGATGAGAGTCCCAGAGACGGGCAGCATTTGGCAAGCGCTCAGCTCCTCTCCAGCACGAGGTTCATGGGGCCCCCTTGTTCAGCACCTTAAATAACAGCTCCTCAGAGCCGCCAATGCCCTAGCACCCCACAGGGGATGCTGTTCTCAGGTTAGTCCTAAGTAATGCACTTCCAGGCATAATTATGGCCGAGCTATTCACCAACAATGAGAAAAATATAATTAAGCTCAATAGTCTCAGGAGGAGTTGGGCTACAAATTAGCACAGTGTCATTCAACTTCAGAAAGGGGAACTGGAGAAAAAAAGAAAGAGGAAGCGAATAAAGACAACCTGGCAGCGAGGACGGGTAAAGGAAAATGTTTGGACTCAGCATGGTTGCTCCTTCAGGATGCTGCAGTGAGGGCGAAGCATCCGTCTGCGTTTGACATACAATGGGGAGCAGGAAGGCAAGAAAAGCCCTGGAGAGCTGAACAGCAAAGTGCAGAAGGTTGTTTGAGCCAAACAGGTATTTTCTTCAGAAAAATGGAAATGCAGCCCAGGCAAAACCCACAGAAAAGAATAGATTCTGCAGTTCTGATCCCAAACATTTTAAGTTGCGGTAATGTCACTACCGGCAGTACGCCGAGCCGTAATAATGCTGCTTAATGCTCTCGCAGGCCTCTGCCTGCAGCTTTGCAATTGTACTTAGCTGCATTTGATTTAAGGTTTCTGCTGGCTTTTCTGATGCCTGAGGGAGGTGGCTGCGGGGCTCCCGCATTAGTCTTGCCCTAATCCCCGCTTCGTGCTGCTGGAGGGGCTTTCGCTGCGGATGGAGAAGGGGGAGGAGGAGGGATGTGGGTTAAGGGGAACGCTGTGGCCCCAAAAGGGTTACATGTCCCCTTCCTCGGGTCAGGATGGCGGGGACGAGCCGGCAGTGGGCTGAAGCTGAAATGGGTCACAGCTGAACCGGCTGCGGGGATGGGGCTGAGCGAATGCTTCAGGGATCAGACCAAGCACGGCGGGGCCTCCCACC